ACCATCTCTGGTGTTTTAGGTGTACTAGGAACATCATCTATCATTGTCTTTTTCTGGAGGTGACTATATATGTTTGAAACTTCGCATAAGGTACTGTCTCCCTCAGATGCTCCAGTTACTGTTCTGTTTTCAGGTCTACGAAAATCTCTGTTTGGCATTATTATTTGTGGATTTTCAAATTAATGTTGTCCCTTGTACATCCATGCTACCTGTCAAGAGTTGATCTTCATGTCCTCTCCATACAACATCATCTCTTGAGGAAGGGTCACTGGACCCAAAACGTTAACTCTGTTTTCTCCTTCACAGATGCTGCCAGACCTGCTGAGCTTTTCCAGCAACTTTGTTTTTGTTCCTGATTTACAGCATCCGCAGTTCTTTTGGTTTTTGTCATCTCTTGTCTGTATGTGTAGGAGTCTAGTCTGTGCTACAATGAGGCTGGTATCCACTCAGCACCAGTAGTGTAATTCTTTACCAACACCTCTTGGCCTTTTTGAAAACACAGCATCTAGCCTTGTTCTCTCAATGAGAAAGCAGATTCTGTTGTTTCCTGTCAACAACGTCTTTTGTTAAGGGTAGTTTCAGTAAATCAAATGCCATGTGCAACTGACACTTTGCCATGAGTAATGCCAGAGAACTCTTGAGTTATGGAGTGGGATGTGTTCTGACATGTTAACAAAAATTAGCTCAATCTTTTAGATAATGATCCATGTTCTTGACTTACCCTTTAGGAATGTTTCATTGTCAGAACAAACATTTGTGCCAAAACATTTGTGATTGTGTGATAAGAAACTGATTAGATAGGTTAAATTTCATTCTGCTTTATATATTATGTAAACTCTTGTGATATAACCAAATAGTCAAACCTTGCAAAGATCTCCCCCAAACTTTCAATGATTTTCTCTGAAGATGCTGTATTTATGATGGAAGCTTCAGGATATTCAGTATATGCATCAACGACTATGAAAAACATTTGCCCTTCAAAAGGTTAAAAACAGTTAATATGGATTCTTTGTCATGGCCTTTCTGGTATAGTGGCACTAATGAAGGTAAGTTGCGAACTCTTGCGCAAGCTACAAATGTTCCTGCCTTCCCCTCAATTTCAGAGTCATGCCCTGGCAACTAAAAACAGCTCTGACTATCTCCTTCATTCTGACAATGCCATAGTGACCTCTGTATAGATGACCACCATTCCCTGTGGGAGATATCCTGGTTATACAGATAGTTCTAGCTTCCTGTGACATGTGGCTTCAGTTTGGAGTTGTTGTTCTGTGATCTTGCAATGAAGTCAATGTCCATCACTTTTGATAGTAGTAGATCATCTCTCACGTACTTTGTACCTTGTCCTGCCATTACCAGAGTGTTCTCTACTTGTTTGAAATAAAAAACCTCTACAAACAGATCTTTTGCAGTCAACTCATTTGGGAAAGGTAATCTAAAGAGCCCATAAGTATTTCCATTTAAGTTGTATTGCCTACACCTAATCGTAGCACTTTGAACTATGGCAACAATGCCCACCTCTGCATAAGGCTTGCTGCTATGCAAGATATCCCTGTATGAGGCCCAGTTATTGTAGCCAATGGTCAACAGTCTATTAGTATGATACGTTCTTGGCTATACAGATATTGGTGAAATTGTCTAATGCCAAAAATAATTCCGAAAGGTTTTTTTCCTCTATTTGTGCATTGTTCATTTCTGTTTTAATGATCTTGACGCAAAAGCTATTGGCTTCTCTTACTATTGCTGTTACGTGAGAAATGACTACTTCCACTCCATAGGGTGATGAATCATATGCCATTTGCGGTCCTAAAGGAGTTGACTTTAATAAAGCCTATTTTCCTTGTGTTTCATATTGATCTTCCCATTTCCAATTCTTGTTTTGGACAAGAATAATAATACAATAAATTGTGCAACTGCTTGAGAATGGTTGCAAGATTCGGGACTCAGTAATTTAGCAATCACAAAAAAATTGTAATTGGTTTACATTTTTAGGTGCTGTTGCCACAGTTGTGGCTTTTGCTTTTGCGTTTGATGATATGTGTAGTCCCTTTGCAGCGATAACAAGGCCTAAACATTCAATGATAGAAGACTTAAAAGAAATCAAATTTGTCTTTGCTAATTCAGGTCTCTGCAGATTGCATCTAAATTGTGGAGATGCACTTTTTTGTTTTTTCCCGGGACTAAAATGTTGTCTAGGTAAAATTGGATTCCTTCCAATCAACTTGAAATCTGTTACATGGCAAATTGGGCTAATGCAGACGCAGACATGATTCCAAATTGAAGTCTCTTGAATTTGACTAGTCCTTTATGTGTTATAATTGTCATGTATTTCTACAACTTAGGCTTGACTAAGGTCGATTTTACTGACAAGCTGACCTCCAACTAGGCCATCATGTCATCGATTAAAGGCAAAGATACTGCTCAGCACACAGTACTGTAACATCATCACAGATGTGTACCGATCCAATTTTCTTCATCATTGGTATGATAGACGTGGTCCAATGAATCACTCATATTTGTGGGCTCAAGGACTTCTAACTTGACTAGCATCTCTAATTCTGCTTCAGCCTTTGGTATGATTGCATAAAACAGTGAACCAACCTTTTGCTCGATTCTCATCGTTGATTTTTGATTTGATGGAGACCATTTCTATTCTTTGTGGGAGTTCTCTGAATTTTCATCATATAGTCCCTTGGCACCAAACTTTCCACCCTTCCTTCTTTAGATGGGAAGGACCTCCATTGCATCCTGTGCCATGAAAACTTCAGCACTACCTCTGTCCTTACTGTTTAAAACAAGGTATTCCTGAGGCTGCCTGTTTCTTTGCAAGTTTATAACCCAACTCAAGACATTTCCATCTGTGTAGGGTATTCGTTACTCAGTGTTCCTTCAGGGTCAAGTATGTGGCAAGATTCTTCTACAATGTTCAACTCTTCCCTGGGTAAATTATTTTCTTCTCCCTTGCTGACTGTACCTACTTCAGTGCAGCAATGATGTATTTTGATTTCTTCTTTTTATCAAAGCATTTCTAAGGTCTGCAGTGAGAACACAATATTTTCTCCAAAATTTTATCCACATTGAGTTTTCTTCATGTCAAGTTCCAAGGACGAGGAGGCCAAAATGTTAAACAGCAGGAGCTTTATTACGGGGATGTTTACAGCCTAAGCAGCAAGATTAGACTAAGTTGCTCAAAGTGGCTCATGACATCATTGTCATTTATTAGACTCACAGCCCACCATACTAACACAAATACGCAACATCCATGTTGAGGTTGGTTGGCTTGCCGAGCTGGTTTGTTGTTCCGCAGAACATCCATATTTCATGAATCCTATGCTGTTAAAGCCAAAATTACACTGTTAAATTGCCTCTTATTTAAAATTTAACACAATTAACTATCAGACCCAACACCTTCAAGGTGGTTTCCTGTCTGCTTCAGAATGCGCTTTTCTTTAAATGGAGTAGAATAGAATATTTCAGGCTCCCCAATAGCATCTGGGAGTCTTGTGTATGAATCACAAAGTGGGTAAGTAGATGGAACATATAACAAGACAGGCAAATGGAATCTTGGCATTTATTGCAAAAGGACTGGATTATAAAAGTAATGTTGTTAAAATTATATAAAGTATTGGTGAGACCACACCTGGAGTATTGTGTCCAGTTTTGGTCTCCTTACCTGAGAAAGGATGTAATGGCACTGGAGGCAGTTAACAGGAAGTTTACCAAATTGATTCCAGGGATGAAAGGGCTGTTATACGAGGAGCAGTTGATTAGCTTAGACTTGTACTTGATAGAGTTTAGAAGAATGGGGTGAATCTGACTAACGTATATAAAATGCTAAAAGGGATTCATAAGGTGCACAACAAACAGATGTTCCCTCTTGTAAGACAGTCTCAAATAAGAGGTCATGGATATATAGGAGTGAGAGGAGGTAGGTTCAAAACTGAAATGAGGGGAAACTATTTCTCTCAGAGAGTTGTGAATCTGTGGAACTCACTGTCCCACAGTGTTGTGGAGGCACCAATTCAAGAAATGGATTTGTTTCTGATGAAAAGTGGGATAAAGGCCTACGGGTAGCTGGCAGGAAAGTGGAGTTGAGTCCAGGATAAGATTCGCCACGGTCATATTAAATGATGATGTAGGCTCGAAGTGCTGAATTGCCTATTCCTGGTCCTAATTCCTATATTCCTATGTTTTTGCAACTTATTTCCCGACACACAGCTAAGCCTGTCCCTCATTGGGCAAAAACAATTCTGCCCAATAGTCTAGAATTTCCACTTCAGGATTTATCTAAATATTTTTTATTTGAACAAATGAGGAAGAATTATTTTCGCATGCTATGTTTACCTTAATATCCCTAATTTTCTCTTCTTGAAAATCATCAATGGTTTCTTCCAGCTGTCGTGCAATTCGTGTAGCATCCATTGTGACCCTCTGTAATTCAGACTCAGCCTAGAAAGGAGCAATTCAAAAACTGATTTTTTCAGTAAGAAACATCTAACTTAAATACATTCTAAAATGTACATTTCTGGAAAAGAAGTAAAAAATTCCCTACCCTTCAGACGTATAAATTAAACAACTATACACTCAGGCAATATTATGTTTTAATTACTGGATCTTTTTGAAGGAATCAGATATATTTAACATAAGTTAACACTTAAAGTACAACCAGTGCCATTCAAATGTTTCCATAAAAAGTGTTAAAATACCAGGATAATTCTTATACACCAACTGACATATAATCTTAGTTCAACAGAAAACACAAAACAAGCTCTTTTACAGAGATCTGCACTAAATTAAGGCTTTGGCATGATTTTGTTTTAAAGTCTACAAATAATGCGACAGCCTCAATCCTGGAATAAGCAGAATCTGGCCAACTCCACTGAATGTCTGTTCTACAGTTTATCCAAATCACAGTAAAAGCATGAACAGTAAGACAACCACAAATTCTATTATTATAACTGAGGAAATTTAACGCTCAAGTAATGGCTGCTCCTTCCAATTTAATTATCAAAGAATCAAAATAATGAGTATATCAACAGGATAATAACACCTAATATACACGACTTGCATGGGAAGGGATATCATAGCTACTGCAGCAACATGGATCAGGAAAGGGCAGGACTGGCAGCTTAATATTCCAGTGTACAGATGCTATATGAAGATAGAAAGGGGGGCAAGAAAGGAAAGGGAGTGGCATTTTTGATTAGGGGTAACATTACGGCTGTACTTATTCCTGGGAGTATGTCTAGTGAAGTTATTTGGGTGGAACTGAGAAATAAAAAAGGGGTGACCACCTTATTGGGATTGTACTAATAGCCCCACCCTCAAAAGTCAGCAGGAAATTGAGAAGCAAGTTTGTAAGGAGATCTCAGGTATCTGCAAGAATAATAGGGTTGTAATGGTAGGGCATTTTAACTTTCCAGACATAAACTGGGACTGCCATAGTGTTAAGGGCTTGGATGGAGGGGAATTTGTTAAGTGATTATTAGATTATAGAATCCCTGCAGTGCGGAAACAGGCCCTTCGGCCCAACAAGTCCACACTGACCCTCAGAACACCCCACCCAGACTCATCCCACTAATCTACACATCCCTGAACACTATGGGCAATTTAGCATGGCTAATCCACCTAACTTGCACATCTTTGGACTGTGGGAGGAAACCGGAGCACTCAGAGGAAACCCATGCAGATATGGCGAGAATGTGCAAACTCTACACAGACAGTCGCCCAAGGATGGAATCGAACCTGGGTTCCTGGCACTGTGAGGCAGCAGTGCTAACCACTGAGCCACCCTAACCAAAGTGGAGAACGTAGGCATCGATCTCACTACCTCTTGTATGCTAAGCGAGCGCTCTACCATTTGAGTTAATTCCCCGCACAATAAGTTCTGTTAACTTTCACTAACCGCCATGGTGGGATTTGAACCCACAGCATTATCTAGGTCTCTGGCATACTAGCCCGGTGACAATACCACTACACCACTGCCTTTCATGCACAGTCCTGCGATGGCCAGGAATTGAACCCGGGTCAACTGCTCGGAAGGTAGCCATGCTCACCACTATACAACCATCACTCTGCCAAGAAAAGTGCGTACAAGAAAAAGGAGGCAGCATGTGTCAGGTATAGACAGCTGGGATTGTGTGAATCCCGAGAGGAGTATGAGGGCAGTAGGAGTATACACGAGAGAAATCAGGATGGCAAAAAGGGGACATGAGATAGCTTTGGCAAATAGGATTAAGGAGAATCCAAAGAGATTTTACAAACACATTAAGAACAAAAGAATAACTAGGGAGACAATAGAAGCCCCTTAAAGATCAACAAGGTCGTCCATGTGTGGAACCACAGGAGATGAGCGAGATACTATTTTGTATCAGTATTTACCTTGGAGATGGATGTAGAAGCTAGAGTATTTGGAGAAATAAATAGTAATATCTTGAAAAGAGAAAAAAAGTGTCCAAATTAGGTGGTGGTGGTGGTGCTGGACATCTTAAAGATGGTAAAACCCCCAGAACTTGATCAGGTGTATCCCAGAACTTTTTGGGAAGCTAGGGAAGTGATTGCTAGGCCCCTTGCTGAGATATCTGTATCATTGATAACCATGGGAGGTTGCCTAATGTGGTGTCATTATTTAAGAAAGGTGGTAAAGAAATGCCAGGAAACTATAGACCGGTGAGCCTGACATTAGTGGTGGGCAAGTTGTTGGGGGGGACCTTTTACACGTACTTGGAAAGACAAGAACTGAGTAGTGATAGTCAACATGGCTTTGTGTGTGGGAAATCATGTCTCACTAATGTGATTGTTACTTTTTCAAAAAAATTCAAAGAAAATTGATGAAGGCAGAGCAGTGGACTTTGTCTATCTGGATTTCAGCAAACTGTTCAACAAGGTTCCACACTGTCGACTGGTTAACAAGGTTAGACCACATGGAATCCAGGGAGAGCTAGCCATTTGGATACAAAACTGGCTTGAAGGTATGAGACAAGAGGGTGGTGGAGGAGGGTTGCTTTTTAGTCTGGAGGTCTGTGACAGTGGTGTGCCGCAAGGATTGATGCTGGGCCCACTAGTTTTTATTATTTATATAAATGGCCTAGAATGTGAATATAGAAGATATGCTTAGTAAGTTTGCAGATGCCACAAAAATTGGGGGTGTACTGGCCAGCGAAGAAGGTTATCTCAAAACACAATGGAAACTTGATCATATGGGGTGAGGAGTGGCAGATGGAATTTAATTTGGATAAATATGAGTTGCTGCATTTTGGTAAGGCAAGTCAGGACAGGTCTTATACACAATGGTACGGTCCTGGAGAGTGCTGCAAACATAGAAACCTTGGTGCAGGAGCATTGTTCCTTGATGTTGCTGACTTGCTCGCTGAGTTGGCTTGTTTTCGTTCAGACGTTTCATGCTAGGTAACATCATCACTGAGGCCTCCAATAAAGCAATGCCGTTCTACTCCGCTTGGAATTTATACTGTCCAGTCCGTTATGGTGAGCAGTTATTTCCGGTTTTATTCTGTATGGGTTTGTATATGGGGTCCAATTCTATGTTTGTTAATTGCATTATGGATTGAGACCCATGTCTTTAGAAACACGCAGGAATTCCTGAGGCATGGTTCTCAACCCATAATGCAATCAGCAAACATTTAGATTTGGACCCCATATACAAACCCATACAGAACAAAACCGGAAATGACACTACTCACCATAACAGACCGGACAGTATAAATTCCAAGTGGAGTAAAACAGCATCACTTCATCAGCCTTACTGACGATGTTACCTAGCATGGTGACGAAACGGCTGAACGAAAACAAGCCAGCTTGGCGCGCACAGCAACAACCTCACCCACAATCTGAGCTACAAATCTTTGCTAAAACCTTAAAGCATAGTTCCTTGAAAGTGGAGTCACAGGTAGACAGGGTAGTGAAGAAGTGTTTGACATGCTTGCCTTTATTGGTCAGTATAAGAGCTGGGATGGCATGTTGCAGCTGTACAGGACATTGTTTAGGCCACTTTTGGAATACTGTGTCCAGTTCTGAACTCCCTGCTATAGGAAAGATACTGTTAAACTTGAAATTGTTCAGAAAAGATTAACAAGGCTTTTACCAGGGTTGGAGGGTTTGAGCTATAGGGAGAGGGCAAATAGGCTGGGGCTATTTACCCTGGAGCATTGGAGACTAAGGGGTGGCCTTAAAGAGGTTTATAAAATCATGTGGGGCTTGGACAGGGTGAATAGACAAGGTCTTTTTCTCAGTGTAGGGGAGTCCAAAGCTAGAGTGCATAGGTTTAAGGTGAGAGGGGAAAGATTTAAAAGGAAACTAAGGGGCAATTTTTTCACGCAGGAGGTGATGTGTGTATGGAACAAGCTAACAGAGGAAGTGGTAGAGGCTGGTACAATTACAACACTTAAAGGCATCTGGATGGATACATGAATAGGAAGGGTTTAGAGGGACATGAGCCAAATGTCGGCAAATGGGACTAGATTAATTTAGGATATCTGGTTGGCATGGACAAGTTGGACCGAAGGGTCTGTTTCCGTCCTGTACAACGCTCTGATTCTACTTTCAAGGAATGATCTGCCACTCCTTGGACCACCTGCCCATCTGAACAAGGTCCCGTTGTACTCTGAGGTAACCTTCTTGGCTGTCCACCATACTGTCGAACTTTAGTATCATCTGCAAACTTACTAACCATACCATCCATGTTCACATCCAAATCATTCATATAATGCCAACAAATGGGCCAAGATTAATTTAGGATATCTGGTCAGCATGGATGAGTTGAACCAAAGGGTCTGTTTCCGTGCTGTACAACTCTGAGATGCAGGCTAAAATCTTCCTTCACAAAGTTATAACAATGCTGACTCCAAATCTTCATAATACCTCAAAGGAACCTAGTAGGTTTTATCTACATCCAACACTAGGAATATTTATGATCCCTTGGATAGAAATTTCTGAGTTATCTGTTGCAAAATTATGTGATGGAGACCAGATACTTAGGATTCTCGACCTTACATCTTTAACCTGGCCTGGAATGAAATTTTGAACTGGGCAGTGAAAGACACTGTTACAACTCATGTGCTGTTTGATTTCTCATTTACATAGATATGAACATATTAATTATGAGGTGGTGGCCATTTGGCACCTCAAGCTTACTCTGGCATTTAATAAAATCATGTCTGATATGAACGTAGCCTCAGCTCCACTTTCCTGTCAAAGCCCAGTGCCTTTTCAGCCCCTCGTTAATCAAGAACTTGTCTTAAAAAATTCCAAACACTCATGACCCTCAAGGTAAATATTTCTCATAATTTCCATCTTAAATGGGAGATTTTTTAAAAAAAAAACTAATTCTGGACTCTCTCACCAGAGGAAGCATCCTTTCAGCATCATTCCTATTACAGTCCTCGCAAGATGTTATATGTTCCGTTAAGATCACTCTCTTTCTTCTAAACTCCAATGGATACAGGCTCAACATGTCTACCTTTCCCCATAAGTTAACCATCTCAACCCAGGCGAACCTTCTGTACGCTGCTTCTATTCCAATTATGTCACTTCTTGAATAAAGTGACCAAAACTGTATACAATATTCTGGATGTGGTCTCACCATGTCCTGTCTTTTTTTTTTTCATTCCTCTTGCAATTAACAGCAACATTCCATTTGCCTTCCAAATCTCTTGCTGTATCTGCAGAGTAATTTTGCAATCACATGCTAGGACACCTAGATTCTTCTGTACTTTGGTTCTACAGTCTCCCTCAAATTTGAAAAATACTGTTTTAATATTCATCCTGATGAAGTGGCCATATGGTCCACATTATACTCCACCTGCCTTTTTTTTGCCTACTCACTGAATCTATTTATACCCCTTTGTAGCCTCTCTATCTTGTCTTAACAGCTTTCTTATTATCTTGGGATCATCAGGTAATTTAGTTATACATTTGATTTCTTTGTTAAAGTCATTTATTCCAATTCTCTGCATCCTGTTGATTAACCAATACACTATCCTTGAAAATACATTACCTCCTTTACCATAAATTCTGAATTTGTTGGTAACCTTTGATGTGGCTTATCAAATGCTTTTTGGAAATCCAGGTACGCAAAATCCAGAGATTCCCTTTTACCAACCTTTCTTCTTATTTCCTCAAAAACTCTAAGAAATTAGTTGAACACAATTTGCCTTCCACAAGAACAGCATGTTGACTCCACCTGATTCCATTATGATTTTCTAAGTCTCTTGGTATAACCTCTGTAACAATAGATTTTAGCATTTTCCTGAAGATATATGTTAGGCTAACCGGCCTGTAGTTCTGTTTTCTAGCTCCTTTCTTGAATAGTAGTGTTAACACATTCTCCAATAATGTCTAACTATTTCAGAAGCTAAGAAATTTTAGAATATCATAGGTAATGGCTCTGCTATTTCTGCAGCCTTTTCTTTTCAGCCCATGGAATGCATGCCATCTACTCCTGAAGACTTGTCAGACTTTAGATCCAATAGTTTCTCTAGCAATTTTCCCTGGTGACAATCCCTGTTTTATGTTCCTCCCTACTTTCCTAATCTTGGTTTCCAAATGTCTTTAAGAAGCTTTTTAAAGTCTTCTATGGTGTAGACCGAAGCAAAATTCCGTTCGACGCTTCTGCCATTTACTGATTTTCAATTATCAATTTCCCCAGGATCGATTCCTCAGGGACCAAAATACTTTTCCTATTTAAATTCTTGTAGAAACACTTACTATTTTTATATTGCTTATCTTGGTGTTTCTCATATTCTACTTTCCCTTTATTATTTTGTAGTCATTCTTTGCTGGTCCTTAAGATCTGGCCAAGCTTCTAACCTACAATTAACCTTTTTAGAATTGTACCTTTTCCATTCCTTAAATTCCCTATTTAGCCACATGGAATACATCCTTCTCGAAGAAGTCTTCTTTCTTACAAGAGATAAATCTTTCCCTAAGTGTTATTAAATCTCTCCTTTGACACTCCATCTCTAGTGTCCTACATTTTAACCTAGTTTCCTGGATTATGATAGCCATTATTATTCATTGTATTAACCTTTATTTAGGTTGAAAACACTAGCCTCAGAAACAAACTCCTCCCCTTTAAACAGAACACAACATTTTATGATCACTGTCCCCCAGAGGCTCCTTAACCTATTTTACTAACCAACCTGTCCAGAGATGTTGTTACACACCTCTGGAGCAGATGGGACTTGAACCCAGGCCTCCCAGTACAGGAACAGGGACACTACCACTGCACAAGACAGTCTCTATGAGGTTACTGATTAATCCCGTAATTGCTCATTACCAGGTCTAGAATAACCTGCTGCCTCATTCATTCTAGAACATACTGCTCAAAGAAGTTGGACTGGAAACTCTGAATTCATTATCCAGGTTACCTTTGCCTGATCTATATGTAGATTAAAGCTACCCTTGATTATTGCGAAACCTTTCTTACTATTTCTATTTCTTCCTGTATACTAGATATTGCAGAGCAACTATTGTTTAGGAATCTATAAACTACTCCCACAAATAGTCTCCTATTTTTCATTTCTACAAAAGACAATTTTCCACCTTGATCTTTTAAAAAAGGTCATCTCTTACTACTGAACTGATGACAACTTTAATTAACAAAGCGGCCTCACCACATTTTGCTATCTTGCTGTCTTTTCAGCATTTCAAATATTCCTCAATATTTAGGTCCCAGTCTTCGTCACCTTGCAACTATGTCTCTGTAATGGCTATTAGGTTAAACTTATTTATTTCTATCTGTTCAAACAGTTAATCCATTTAGTTACAAACACGGCAAGCATTCAGATGCAGACCTTTAACTCTATCTTTCTACCTCATCTTTCTGTTGTCTCTAATCTCATTTTATCTGCTGATAAGCCTTAAGTTTGCATACTCTGTTCTTTCCCGTCACAATCTGGTATCCGCTGCCTAAGTTACTACCCTGTTCTTTTACATCATTTTCCTTTGATTTACCACAATACTTCTCACATGATCCCTTCCATCCCTATTCAATTTACAATTTCAATTTACTACCCTAGTTATACAATTCACAAGACACTGTTCCCAGCATGGTTCAGAAGAAGCCCATCCAAAAGGCACAGCTTTCCCCAGTAAATCTAAACATTCAAATGTACGAGTGACCACATAATGTTGTGAATACAGACTTTTTCAGAGAATGTAATTTCGCTATCTTACAAATGCAATTCCACAGGAACTGAAGTTGATATTCAGTCACAAACCTGTGTCTGTCTTATTGTCAAGGACTGGTTCTTATAAAAATTCTTAAACCATTAGTTCAAAGCATCAATTCCAGAACTCCAGAAGGGAACACCAGAGTTTCAATGGAACCAGACTTCCAAACTCACTTTTCCTAGGTCAAGGTTATTTCATGTATTTATGTATTGTGTTTCCTGTTACCAAGATAAAATATGACACTGCAAACAGCACAACATCCTGACAGTTCTAAAGCTAGGATGCCATTTTATGGATGAAACAATGTAGCAATAAACTGAAATGGGCTGAAGTGCACAAAGATTGCTCCAAATTTCCTACTGAAGGCTTTTGTTTAGATCAAGGCTTTTCAGGCCCACTTTGGTGATGGCAATCAATGGTGACAATGCTCATATCCCATAAATGAACAAAATAAAATTTAGTACAAGATAAAAGCAAAGAACTACCAATGTTGAAAATCTGAATAAAAACAGAGGAGACTGGGCAAACTCAGGACTGGCAGCATTCGTGTAGAAAGAAACAGTTAACATTTCTAGTCCAATATGACATTTCTTCAAAGCTGAAGAGAAAAGTTGAAGAACTGAGGGATTTTATACATTTTATCTAGAAATAGGTGGGAGGAGCAAGAAGAACTGGAGGGAAGGTCAAGAGGTCGTTAAAGGGTGAGCGAGATTGAAGCAAACACCAGAGGGCAAATGGAAGGAAATGAAGTTGAGTGAGATGAAAGAGACAAATGGAACTTCTTCAAGGTGAGTATTCATAGAACAGAAGCGGCAGTGAATTAAATGGTAAAACAAAAACTAGAGATACTAGAAATCTGAAATATCTCCTCCATGAAGATAGGAACATAGTTAATCTTAATCTTTAACTTAGTAAAAGCGTACCAACATACTTCACGGAAGTGTTACCAGACAAAAAGTCACGTGAGGACATATTAGGGCAGACGATCAAAAGCTTGGTCACAGTTAGGATGTCCACCTCAAAGGATGATAGAGTATGAGGGCTATGTCAGCTAACAAGCTGACGTTATGCCGAAGACTGTCTTAGTGATGAAGATGAAATATCAAATAACTGGCATGGAGGAGCAAATTACTGCAGATGCTGGAATCTGAACTGAAAACAAAAAATGCTGGAGATCACAGCAAGTCAGGCAGCATCCATGGAGAGAAAGCAAGCTAATGTTTCTAGTCTAGATGACTCTTCATCAAATAGTATGGAGGCCAGCTCAACAGAGGGCAGTTTTACAGAGTACTTAACTTTATGTGCTTTGAGGGTCGACTTTCTAAAATTTACTCCACTTTTGAAATTAGCACTCAATTTGATTTAATCTTAACTAGTAGTTTCTTTCACAATGTTCATAGATAAACAAGCTGCCTGCTCATAATAAATGCAGTAAATCAAGTAACTGGTGACCTGCTCAGTACGAGCTGACTCAGGGCTTTGAAACTCCTGCTGGTATTAATATTCCGAAAACTTTTGCTAACATATAGAGGAAGCAACACCTTAGAATCATAAAATGGACAACAAGCCCTTCAGCCCATTGAGTCAGTACTGCCAAAACTATGCTAAATCTAAACAAGTCCCACTCTCCAGCACTAGGCTCAAAAAAATGAATGTTATAACATCTTAAGTGCTCATCCATGTACTTTTGAAATATTGAAGCCACCCATCATAACTACCCTCCTAGGCAGTACTTTCCTAACTCCTAAAGTCTGGATGAAAATATCTTTCTTCAAATCCCCTCTAAACCTCCCAACTTTCACCTTAAAAGCAGGCTTCTTGTTACTGATCTTTCAACTAAAACAGAAGAGCTGCTTTCTATTCATGCTGTCCCTCATGCTCTTACACACCTCTATCAGATCCCATCTCAACATTCTCTGCTTCGAAGAAAGCAACCAACTTATCCAGCCTCTCTTCATCCCAGGCAATGTACGCCTCAACAGAAAAAAGACGTGTCCTGTAAACCTTAAATAAGCTATTAACCTGCCCTGCCATGTTTAAGGATTTGTGGACTAACATCCCCTCTGTTCCTCTGAGCTTCCTAGTATCCTACCATTCATGGAGTACTGCCTTGTCTTGTTATAGCTTCCAAAGTGCATCATCTCACACTTACCACGGTTAAATTCTTTCTGCCACTGATCTGCCCATTTGACCAATTTATTTATATCCTCCTACAATCCAAAACATTCTTCCTCACAGTCAACAACCAGCCAATCTTCATGTCATCCACAAATTCACTTATCTCTTCTCCACCTCACATTCTCATCTATATCATTTAGTTATATCACAAACAAGAAGGGACACAGCACTGATCCTTGTGGTACAATACTGGACACCAGTCTCTAGTCAGAAAAACCACCTCCACCATCATCCTGTATCTTCTGCCACTAAGCCAATTTTGGATTCCATGTGTTTTTACCTTCTTTATCAGTCTCCCATGTGGGACCTTGTTAAAGGCCTTGCTGAAATCCATATAAATTAGATCAACGCAACTACCCTCATCTATATATTTGGTCACCTTGAAAAATTCAACCAGATTTGTTAGACATGACCTCCCTATGACAAAGCTATCTGATTACCCATGATCAAACCTTGCTCCTGTAAATGGAGACAAATTCTCTCCTTCATAACTTTCTCCAATAGTTTAGTTACCACTGATATGGGTTGTCTTATGAGGAAGGATTGAACAGGCTAAACTTGTATCTGCTGGAGTTAAGAACAGTAAGAGATTACTTGACTGTAACACAAAAGCCAAAAAAGGTCTAAGCAGGGAAACATGGAGACAATGTTACTCTTAATGGGAGAGTCTAGAAATAGGAATCACTGTTTAAAAATCAGAAATAACCCATTTGCAATACATATTAGGTGAAATGTTTTCTCTCATAGGGTTGAGCGTCTTTCGAACTCTCCCTGTAAAGGCAATGGAAGCAGAGTCCTTGAATATTTTCAAAGCAGAAGTAGACTAATTCTTACGAAACAAAAGGTGAAAGGTTATCAGGGGTAGGCAGAAATGTGGACTTGAGGTTACAATCAGATCAGCCACAATCTTATAGAATGGTACAGCAGGCTCAGGATGAATGGCCTATTGTTGTTTCCGATTCATATGTAAGGATGATGTGATTGAAGCGATTACTCAACATTTAGATTTAAAGAAGAGAAACCCGAATGCATTAGATTACATACTTAGATGAAGTTTGGTTGCAGGTGATGAAAAAAAGTTGAACTGGAAGAGAAAGAAAGAAAAAGAGTAATTTTAAAAATCTGAATAAGAAAGAAAGGTGGAAGAAAACAACAAGAGAAATGGAAAATAAATACTTGAATTGGCAAGAGAGGAGAAATAAGAGAAATGGAAATGTAAAAGCTTGAACTCCAGAGACAGAGAAATCTGACCATGTAGCTAAGCTAAAGAAAAGTTTAGAATAAAGCAGAATAAGAGATAGCAGTTCAGAAGGTCAAAATCATTCCACTGCAAACAGTGAATTAAAATTTGAAAAACATCTTTGGTTAGTGCCTACATTTACAGAGGGTGGTATTTCACCTCATTTGAAAAGATGTGAAGGTGAGGTGACTAAAAGATGAAGTGATCAAAAGAGCAATACTCAATACATAACAGTTTGTCCTTGAAGCTTATTAATTAAAGTTTAGGACTAAAAGAAAGTAACCTAATCAGATACTTGGAGATTATGCAAGAGAAAAGACATATTATAGAACCTCTAACAGAAAAAAATTGCTCCTCACTTACGTCCTGAATATCTAATTTTTAAACAGTGACACAATGTTCTGGACTCACTACAACAGGCAACATCGTTTCCACATGTACTTCAATCAATTCACTTCTCACTGTTCTAAACTCCAGTAGAAATAAACGCACTCCTACAAACTTGTAGAATTAGATAGGAAGAATACATGAAAAAGGGAGATGACATGGAAATTCAGTTATCGGCCACAATCTTTGAAAACTTCAGTGAAATGAAGGCATAAGAGAATGAGGCTGACATGTTTAGCCATTCTCAATATAAATGCAACAGGTGGATTTTGAACTGAGAGGGATGTAAATAAATAGCTTACTTGGAAACTAAACCAAAATCAACACTTGACTGTTCTTATAAAAAGACAAAGTGTAAATGAAGACATGGAGACTACTCAAATACCAGCTGATTGGGAAAGGGCAATAGTCCATCAGGTAGTAATTCCATCAGCATACTGTAACAAATTCATATCAGTAACTCACAAAATTTCAATAGGACGTCATCTGGGAATTAGGAAGACATGGGCTAAAATACTAAAACACTTTTACTGGCACTGCACTAATTAAATCTGCATCCTTGATTCTGATAACAGCTATTGGGGAAAAAAAAGTGGTAGGGTCTGAATAAAAATTGTCAGACCCCTATTTTTATCCTGAATTAGGAAACAGTATCTTTTAAAAAGACTTGAATGTACAAGCAAGGTTTACTGAGCTGATATCTTTTAAGAAAATTATAGCAAAAATGATAGTGGAAAAACATACCTCAATCTCTTTCAAGATGTGAATTAACCAATTCAGAACCTTGATTTGATTGAATGTCAGAAATATTAAAGAGTATTGAATAATTTGGGAATAAAATAATCATCTCATCATTAACAATCACAAGAGGCACTATTTTAAATATGGTGTTAAACTTTAAAGACCATGATGGGAATCCAGTGTTAGGAATGCCATTATGATTGGGATAAAAGAGCTCCCTTGTAACCATTTGCTATTAGTGATACCTCAATAAGTCCACAGGATTTAGTCCTTTCAATTTAATATATAGGCATGAGGTGACAGGATTCCTTTAATTAATTAAAAATTTATAAGCCAAAGCTCAGACACTACTTCTGACTGGTATGTCAAACATATGGAAACATTAACCAAAGTATGTTAGTTGCCCAGAAAGCATGACAAAGTCACTCAAACAATGAAAGCTCATGCAGAAATAAATGTCAGAACCGTTAAAAGCAAGGTTCTTTGAACCTTATCAAATCAAAAAGAAACTCAATTATGTAGTGGGTATTCTAAACAGGAGAAGAAAATCAACAAGAGTGTTCTGTCAACATGACAAAAGTGCATGATGAAAGTGAGGATAGTAAGGAGTGGTGTGTGCTTACAGTGGTGAAAGTAGTAGGAAGGGAAATAAAAATCAGTGTGATTTGAGACTGAATCATCAATTGAAAAATTCTAAAGCTGACTCTCCAATAATCAGATTTGGATGATCACAGAATTAAAGCAGTGTTAATGCACAGGAGGCCGCCACTTGGCCTATCATGCCAACATTGGCTCTTCAAATGAGTATCATGACCTAATGTCAATCTCCTGCTTTTTCCCCCCAAATCCTTGCATGCTGTTTCTATCCAAAATGTCATCCAATGTCCTTGATTGTATCAATCGAACTTGCCTCGAACACTGTACTAGGCAGTGCATTTCATATTCTAACTACTTGCCATGCAGAAAATGCTTTTTCTCACATCTGATTTGTTCCCTATGCAGATCACTTTAAATTCATGCTCTTGTGATCTTGTTGCTTTTACGAGGGGAACAGTTTTGCCCTAACCACTTTATCCATCTTACTTATGATTCTGAAAACCTCTGACATTCATAACCAGTAACAAGTTAGCGAACCTTTTTGGTACTGCCCCCAATGCCAGTAAATTTTCTGTTACATGATCGGACTAAAACTGTTCACAGTATTTGAACGCCTAACTGTGTGAAACCATTTTTCCTCACATCACCCTTGCTGTATTTTCACATCATTTTGAAATCTATGGATCCTCCTTTTTGTTTCTCTTACAAGCAGTAACAGCTTCACTCAAACTATTTTGTCTAACCCACTCATGATCTTGAAAACGTCAATCAGATTTCCTCTCAACCTTCTCTCCAGGGAGAGAGGAATCTATCATCATAACTGAAGTTTCTCATACGTGGAACCATACTAGGATGTCACTTCTGCACTCTCTCCAATGCATCAGTATATTTTCTATAACGTATAATCCACCATGTACATAATATACCAGCTGATGTCTAACAAGTGTCTTGTACAAGTTAAACATCACCTTCTTGCTCTTGTATTCTATGCCTCTACTAATAAAGGATACTGTATGCTTTATTTACTGCCCTCTGCAGCTATTCTGCCACCTTCAAATGACCTGTGAACACAGATGCTCATGTCCCATGGCCCTGTATCCCCTTTAAAACTGTAGTCCCTATTTGTTGTTGTGTCAGTGTTCTTCCAACCAAAGTGCATCATGTCACACTTCTCTCGACTGAACCTCATCTACCACCTATCCGTCCAATCCGTCAACTTGTCAATGTTCTCTTCAAGTTTCACACTATCCTCCTCAGTTGACAATTCTTTGGAGTTTAGTGTCACCTGCAACTTAGAAACTGTCCCCTGCACACAAAGGTCTAGATAATGAATATAGCAGGAAAAGCAAAGGTCCCAAACCCGACCTCATTTGGAAGTCCACTACAAACCTTCCTCCAGATCAAAAAATATCCATTCTTCTCTGTTGTCTGTCACTCAGCCAATTTTGTATCCACATTGCCACTGGCTCTTCTGTCCCCCTATTTTGAAACTCTATTCCCTCAGGAGATGCCATTTTATCCATATTATTTCCTACTATCTGTTGGACTTGGAGCTAGCATTTTGTAATTTATGCACGAGGACTACAGTTTCCTAGTTTTTCTCTGTTTAAATAATATTCAGCCCCTCTATTCCTATTGAAGGGCATAACCTCATTTTCCCATATTATATTCCATCTGCCAAGTTTTTGCCCACTCACTAACCTTGCTATATCCATCTGTAGACTGTCATCCTCACCACAACCTCCCATCTATTTTTGGGTCATCGGCAAACTTGGAAATAGCACATTTACTGCTTTCAAGCAAGTCATTAATATATACTGTAGACAATAGTAGCCCTAGCAATGATCCCTATAGCACTCCACTGGTTAAAAGTTGCAACCCTGAAAACGCTCCCCTTATCCCAACTCTTTGTCTTCTAACAGCCAATCCACTCACCATGCTAATATACTACTGCAATATCTGATGAAGTGGTCTCATGTGCAGTACTTTAATCGAACGCCTTTTAGTATATTTCATCCAACTTTATCTATCCTGCTTGTTACCTCCTCAAAGAGGTCTAATAAATTTATATGTTCCCATAACATCCAACATACCTTCAAACATTCTTTCATTTTTAGATGCTCTGCTGTGACATCCTTTAACATTCAACATCACAGACTAATATTTTCCCAATAACAGATGTTAAGCTATCTGCCCTATAGTTACCTTTCTTTCTTGTCTCCCTCCCTTTTTGAAAAAGGATGTTACATTAGCAGTTTTCCAATTGTCAATTACTTTCCTAGAATCTCAGGATTCTTGGAAGATTATTACTACTGCATCCACTATCTCTCAATAGCTACTTCTTTTCATATCCTGGGATGCAACTCATCAGGTACAGTTGATTTATCAGCCTTTAGCCACATTAATATCATTTTTATTTCTCTAATGATAGCTAGTATATTTATTTCATCCCCAATTTGTTGGAACAAGAGAAGGGCAAGCCATATTCAAAAGCAAGTTGTGCACCCTCAAGAAACACTACCATACTAGCCATACATATCACAACACAAATGGACACAAAGGCAGGGCCTCAAAGAAAGGTAGTTATTTGTCACATGGTAAACTGCACATCACAACTGAGCAGGAAACAGTGACAGAGACAGTGACAACATCTTGTACAAGAATACAGGATCCTAGGTCTGAACAGCTGGACGTAGATGTGGGTCTCCCATGAAGGGAAATTTATTGAGCAGCTGTAGAAAATGCCCAAGGTTTTGTTACATTTCCAACACCCTTGGAAGTTATATATTCTCATAAATGTATTGTGTATTTTAGAAACAGCTCTCTTTGTCTCAGAAAATCATAGCAACCTGTTGAGCTGAGAAATACAGAACTGTGCAGGCCGAGAACATAACTTAAGAACATGAAACAAAACTTTACTAAAACCTGGTGGCATCACATGACTCATATGTAAACCAATTGTCTGAGTAAAAGTTAAATAGGATACCCTAACAAGTGATGAGTCACAGTATGACTTTGTGAACTGCTACAGAAGTAGGAATGAATGCCTTGAATGTGCTCATCACAATGGATGTGCAATCTCTCTACACACTTATCCCTCATCAGGATGGTCTGAAGTCTCTTTGCTTCTTCCTTGAAAGTATCCTCAACAGTCCTCATTCACCACCAACTTCCTCTGCCTGGCTGAGCTCATTTTCAATTTCAACTTATTTCTCCTTTAACTTGTATCACTTTATCCAGGTCAATGGTATGGCAATAGATAGCCACATTGGTCCCAGTTATGCCCATCTCTTTGTGGGGAATGTCAAACATTCCCTGTTCCAGTCCTACTCAAGAACAGCCTCTCAATTCTTTCACCATGCATGGATGATGTCATGGAAATTGGAAAAATTAATCAATTTCCTGCTTGATTTCTATCATTCTCATACACACAGTCCATTTCTGAATCTTCCCTTCCTTGACATGACTGTTTCCAATTCTAGTGAGTTTCTCCAGCATGTTCTGTTTTTAGTTCAGATTTCCAGCATCCATAATATTTTTCTTTTACCTCTCAGATTTTGTATGTTATAATCAAGTCATCTCTTCCCTAGATTTCTTAAATAACTTACTTAATTGGATGAGGGCCCATGACTCTGGGTTGAAATCAAACCTATCCTGGTTAAATTGATATGGAAGACAGGAAAGAAATTTTATAATGAAAATTGAACAATGGGGCTTTAAAAATGAACAGACAAAGGACAAAAACAAGGAGTTATGATAAACATTTATTTGATACTAGTTAGGCTTCAACTGGTGTATTTTTTTCTCAAGTCCAAGACTAGGCACCGCACTTAACAAAAGAAATAAAGACTTTAGAAATGGTGCAGAAAGGCTTCACAAAATTGCTTCCTGCGATAAGAAACATCAGTTATGCGATTAGATTGGAGAAACGGAAGCCAGAGAAGATTGAAAACTTAGATAAAGATGTTCAAAATGATGATATATCTCTACAGAGCAGATAGAGAGAAACTGTTTTCCTTAACAGAAAGGCAAAAAACCACAGGCTATAAACAAAGGTTATTTATCAAAAAGACAACAGAATGGAAAATACTTTCATGCAGTGAGTAGTTGGGATCTGAAAAGCACTGCCTGAGAATGTAGCACAGCTTTATTCAATTGTTGCATGCAGAAGGAAATTCAATAAGCACTTAAAATGAACAAAAATTTCAGGACAACATGGAAAAGGGAAAGGAAATAGAATTTTCAAAATGCTGTACTTGATAGAATGACTGGCCTCTTTGTGTGCTGTAACCATTCCATGATTCTATGATAATTATTTTAGCTGAGAAATATTTTAAACTCTATTTAGAAAGAAAACACAATGTAGGATGTCCCACACCAGGTTCAACATGCAATTTATCACAATCATCTTTATTGCAAAACACATATCTTGTAATCCAGTGAGGATGAAATGTGCCTTTTAGTGGTAAAGGTCACTCTCAGGACCCAGTGTGAAGAGACAAAATTATGCTTTCAAAGCCCAAATAACAAGAAGTTACTCAATTTATCCAAAACGATCCAGTCACACTGCTCACCACTCATCATGTAAAAGTGTTCTATCTTGGCACAAAAATACAACCACTATAAATTAAGGATACAACAATTTGTCGATCAGAAGGATTCCTCTGGCGCATTCTCTCCACGTGGGCAATTTGCCTTGATTCACGTTTTATAGCACCTGAAGCAACCTTGAGATCTTCCTGTGAAAATAAAATATTAAATATTATACAGGTTGGCAACAGTAAGAGATTAGGTATGTCTAGCACAAAACCATGTGTCCGTATGTAAATTCCAAGCACCAAATTAAAGTTGCTATTTACATCTATAGTTTCTACAAAAGAAAACACAAGCTCAGCTTTTCTTTTCTACACTGATCTTAACTGAGAATAGCCTGTACAAACTGCTATTGGCATTATAAAATCAAAGGCTGTAATTTGCAGTTATGTGCAGCCTTAACGTTGAAATGCAATTGGATGGTGTTCACAGAAATGCAAAGGGGAAAAAAGGACACAGCCAAGTGTCAAAAATTTATTCAAATGTGTAAGAAGGACCTTAATAAAAGAATAGGGGGTTTAGCATGAAACTCCACATTGTAAGTTAACAGCAGTGGACAATTAAACATCTAACAGAAGGCTCCACCAATATTTCCATCCTAAAGGATGGGGAACCCAGTCCATCAGTACAAAAGATAAGGTTGAAACAATTGCATCCATCTTCAGCCAGAATTACTGAGTGAGTGATCCATCTCAGTATTATCCAGAGTTTTGCAGCATCAGTCTTCATTCACTCCATGTATTATAAAGAAATGGCTGAAGGCACTAAATACTTTAAAAGCTACTGGCAACATTATTGAAGACTTCCGTCCCAGAAATAACTATTTCATAGAGCTAACATCTTCCCACCAATGTGGAAAATTGTCAAGGTATGTCCAATCCATAAATGGCAGGACCAATCCAACATGGCCAATGATCACACTACTCTCCATCATCAGCAAAGTGATGTAAGAGTTTGTCAACAGTGCTATCAAGACCACAGATGTAGGTTAATTGACCCATTGAATTTACGCCCCTATTCAATTAGATAATGGCTATCTCATAATCTTCAACTCCACTTTCTTGCCTTTTCTCCATAACCTTTGATTTCCTAACTGATTAAAAACCTCTCAACCTTGAACACACCGAATACCACAGAGCACTGTTGAGGCCAGGTAAATGAATTCCACAGATACGCAACCCACAGATGAAATTGTATCTCAAATCTGTCTTGAATGTGTGACCTCTTACTCTGAGATTACACCCTCTGGTCCAAGACTTTCTCACAAGGGAAACAAGCTTTCCACGTCTACACTGTCAAGTCTTTGAGAAATCTGGTATGTTTCGATAAGGTCACCTCTCATTCCTCTATATTCCAAAAAGTACGGACCCAATCTACTCAACATCTCCTCAAAAAACAGTGACTCCATACCTGGTATCACCCTACTAACATTTTCTGGATTACCTCCAATGTCAAAATATCTTTCCTTAGATACGGAGCCCAAAACTGTTCACAGTTTTCATTCATATTCCAGCTGTGGTCTGAGTAGTACTTTGTTTAGTTTTAGCAAAACTTCTCAATGTTTATACTTCATTCTCTTTGAAATAGAGGGCAACATTCCATTTGGCTTCACCTATTACGCACCAAACTTGGATGCTAATTTTTTTTATGATTTGTGGACAAGGACACCCAAATCCCTTGTTCTGCAGCTTTCTCTGCAGTGTATTTCCATTTAAATAAGATTCAGTTCCTCTACTCTTCCTGCCAAAATGCACAACCTCACATTTCCCATATAGTCCAAATGCCAAGTTTTTGACCACTTGTTTAACCTGTCTATATCCCTCTACAGGCTTCTCGTGTCATCCCCACCACTTGCCTTCCGTCCTATTTTTGTGCCATCCACAAACTTGACTACAGTACATTCACTTTCCTCATCCAAGTCATTGAAATATATTGTAAATAACTGTAGCCCCAGCACTGACTCATGTAGCAGACCACTAGCTACAAGTTACCATTGTCTCTGTAATCCCAACTCTCTGTCTTTATTAGTTAGCCAATCCTCTACCTATGCTAATATCCTATCTCCAGCACCATGGGCTGTTACCTTATCAAGCAGCCCAGTGTGTGGTATCTCATTAAATACCTTATGAAAATCAAAATATATTACATCCACTGCTTCCTGTTTATCGATTCTGCCTGATATTTTCTCAAAAAATTCTGGTAACTTTGTTCGGCATGATTTCCACTTCAAGAAGGTATGCTGACTCTGCTTGATCACATGATGTAATGCTAAACGCTCAGTGTTACGTGCTCTATGTTCAGTAGTGTTATGGTAATGAATAGTAATCCAGAACCCTAATCGAATGTTCTGGAGACATCGTTTCAAGTCCCACTATTTCAGATGGTGAAATTTGAATTCAATTTAAACAAAAATCTGAAATAAAAAAAGCTGTCCTAATGGCAACTGTGAAACCATTGTTAACTTTAGCAAAACTCCATCAGGAATTTCTTTTAGGGAAAGAAGCTGCTGTCCTTACCTGGTCTGCGCTACAAGTGACTCTAGACCCACTGCAATGTAGTTGATTATTAACTGCCCTCTGGACAATTACAAATGGGCAATAAATGTTGGCCTAGCCAGCAACACCCACATCATTTTCACAAATAATGAAGAGTTTAACCTTTTCCCAATAACAGATATTAAGCTAACTGGCCTATGTTTAACTTTTTTTTAAAAACTTCTTCCCTTTTTAAATAACACAGTGTGGAGCTGGAGGAGCACAGCAGGCCAGGCAGCATCAAAGCAGCAGGAAAGTTGACATTTTGGGTCAGGAGCCTCCTCCCTTTTTAAATAAATGCCTTACATTGGCAATTTTCCAATCCTCTTGGACTTATCCAGAATCTAAGGATTCCTGGAAGATTACTACCTGTGCATCCACCACCTCTGCAGCTACTTCCTTTTAATATACTTGGATGTATCTCAAGCACACATGCAAAGGAATACCCTGCCCCCTGTCATTCAGATTGGTCCTGCCAGGATTGCTCAGCTCCTGGCCTCATTACAACCTTGGTGCACACATGAACAAAAGAGCTGAACTCCAGAGGTGAGGCGAAGGTAACTGTATTTGACGTCAAGGCAGCATCTGATCATCTCAGTCAAAAGGCCTCACTGCATCTGTTCCTCAAGTCATGGCCTAGGTCCTACCTCCTTCAGCTGTTCCATCAATGAATTTTGTTTATCATATAAGGTCAGAAATGGGTTTGTTCAAGGATGTCTTTACAATGTACAGCAATATTCATCAATCCTGAAATACTAAAGCATTTGGACTGATATGCAGCAAGACCTGCACAACATGCAGGCTTGGGCTGATAAATGGCAAGTACTGTTCATGGCACACAAATGGCCATCTCCAACACGAGGAAATCCAACTATTACCCCTTGACATTCAATGGCATTACTATTATTGAATCTGCCACTATCAATATTCTGGATGTTATAATTTCCTGTAAACTGAACTGGATGTGCTAAATAAATATTATGGCTGCAAAAAAAAAAGGGTACAGGTTGGAATTTACATCCTTGACTTTCCAATGCTGTCCACAATCTAAAAGGCAAAAGTCAAGAACATAATGAAATGCTCGCTTCTTTCTTGGAAGTGTACAGCTTCAACAACACTCAAGAAGCTCAACACTATTTAAGACAAAGCTGCTGACTTGATTGATACCCTGTCCACCACCTTAAACATTCAATCCTTTCACCATCATAGCACAGTGACAGAGATGTGAACCATGTTCAAGACACACTGCTGAAATTCACCAAGGTTCAGCACCTTCCAAACCTGCAACCTCTATGAATTAGAAGGTCAAGGGCATCAAACGCAGGGGAAAAACACCACCTGCAAAGCTCCCATTAAGCCACTCACCATCCTTCCTTTGAAATACATCACATGTTTTTTAAACTATCACTGGGAAAATTCCTGGAACTTCCCTCAGAATAGCAGTGTGTGAAAGTCTCTACACTCCAAGGACTGCAGCAGTTCAAGAAGGCAGCTCATAACCACCTTCACCACAGCATTTGGGCATGGACAATAAATACTGGCTTGGCCCATGCTGCCCACGTTCTATTGCGAAAAAATATTGAAGGACGCAGACAACTCTTAATTTCCTGAATCAAATAGGCCCCAGTTTAGGCCTCCAGATCAGGATCACTGGCCCAAAATGTTCATTCTGATTTTTCTTCACAGATGCTGCCAGACCTGCTGAGCTTTTCCAGCAAGTTCTGTTTTTGTTCCTGATTTACAGCATCCACACTTCTTTCAGTTTATATTTAAGTACCTGATGCATTGGGTACTCCCAAGCAGTTCCCATCATATGGTCACATTGTTACCAATCCTTTTTGTACAAAACTAAAATTGGAGTCAGAAAATCAAGCTTCCCCAAATTTAACAGTATATTGAAAGGGTTAAAAGATATAGTCAATGATATAATGTCAGAGCTCCATCTAGCAGCAGAATCAAGTAATGCAATAATATAATTATCGTATCAAGTTTGAAAGCCACTACAGCCTAAAAATTGTTCATAGCTCTCAGGGACAAAGTGGAAAACCAAAATAATTATCCTACCCATGAAATCATAATACAAAGCTAAAATCAAATTAATCCACAACATGAATATATTTCAACAGCTGATTTGCAAAGATTTCAAATGAGAATACTGCTGCAGTATTTGACCAGTTCAGATATGATTGCACGTCAAGACTAGCATCTAACAGCCTGCATTTTCTACGCTGTCTGTATGGAAGCATTTGCTGACACCTTGTACTACGATAGTACCTTTAAAATAGTAAAGCATTTCAAAACATTTCACAAGAGCCTAGAAGAATCCTACAGTAATGTCCTTGGTTTAAAACACAGGCACAAAAACCAAACTCCGAGCTGAGTGAGAAAAACAGCCCTCAACATTAAAACAGCACTTAATTAAGTGTGCCAGCAAGGAGTCCTAACAAAACTGAAGTCAATGGTTGACAGTCTAACCAAACACAAAGAAAGATAATTGTGATTATTGACAGCAAATCACGTCAGCCTTGGGACATCACAGCAGGGCTCTTTAGAGCAGTGTTCTAAGCCAGCCATCTTCAGCTGCTTCATAAATGAGTTTCCCTCCATCCTAA